TAGGGAGCACATTTGCCCTACAGCAAAGAACAAAAAACAAAGTTCCAGTTGCCAAATTCTGACTGACTGTCAGGGAAAGTCCTGGAATGTTGTTGTCAAAGAAGGGGCTGGAGCTTGATACAATAAAATGTATCTAGCATTCATTTGTTGAAAACCAGGAAAATTCATTAATAAGTTTTATGAGTGGTTGGAATCTTTAGATATTTGAAAAGGGTCACTTAATAATCTGTGATCTATTCCTCAAGGAAAACCACTTTCCTGAGTTCTGCTAGGCCCTAAACTCTGACTAAACGCCCATTTTAGAAAACTTAAAGTAAATCTGAAAAAAAAATGCCCATTTTTGAAAACTTAAAGTATATCTGAAATTTTTCCCCCCCAAGGAAAATGAGTTCAGAACTCTCAAGGTTTTGTTTTCTCTTTAGGCTGGTCCTCGGTAGACCAGCAGTGAATTGGTCGGGAGAAGACTGCCATCTGGTGGCTAAATGTAGGAACTTGCTCCAAGACATATGTCTATTGGTTTTTCCCCAGAAGTCTCGGGTATCTGCTCTTGCCGCCTACATATCCCATCCCCAGAGACCCCTCAAGAACAAGTACATTTCCTTAAAAGTTAACCTTGAAAGACATTAAAGAATCCTCCATTGAATAAAACCTTACGAGGAAAATAAAGTATGAGGAAAGGAAAATAAAGAAGTCTTTATGAATCTCCAGTTGTAAAAACTGGAGGAACCGAAGGCCAGAGTGTTCAAGGGACTCGCTCAGAAGCCCCAACCTCCCAACTCCCACTGAAGGCTCTCTCCTCTGACAAGTTCATACTTGCTGTCCTCCAGATTTCGCAGCACCTGTTCCCCTAACCTCCGGCTGGAAAAAAAAAAAAAACATAAGACTTCTAGAACTCAGAAAAATGAGATGAAATCTCCACAGGTGGCCTCTGTACTGAACAGCACAGTCCTGTATCTTGTGTGTCTTATCTAGTCTAGCATGTTATCATCTCCAAGTTCATCCATTCATTCAGAAAGATGTTTGTCCTGCTTTAAGGAGAGCAGTGTGTTAGCGTTCAACAGCACACACTCAAAAATAAACAACACGGTCTCCACTTTCCCAGGGTGTACGATCAACCGACAGGAAGCATGCGGACATATAACCGGAAGACCACAGCCCGGGAATGGGGATCCGCTCTGAGCAGTTAGAGGGCTGGGTTAGTGGGAAACGTGTGACTGAAGCAGGACCTTAAAAGGCAGCAGGAGAAGGGGCACAGCATTTTAGAGACAGGAAGGGCAAGGAGAAGGAGATCAGAAGGAGATCAGAAGGTCCATGCAGGGGATGCCAAGAAGTCCGATCCAATACAAGGAGATGATTTGCATAAGGGAATCATGAGCAAGAAAACTAGAAAGGAACATTAGAGCCAATTTCCAAACATAAAAATGAGAGAGCCAGGGAGAGAACTATGGGAATAAAAAGGAAATGATCTATTAAAGAAAGATTGCAAAGAGACGACCAGACTTTCAGCATGATTAAACCCTGGAAATGACATTATTCAAAATTTTCAACCAGGGTAAAAGGCAGATTGCTGGCACCATTAACAGGGCAATACTGGGAGAAAGTGGGAAACAGCAAATGTCTTAAGGTGGTTGAAGAGGCTGAGACAGATCAAAAGCACTTTGAGGAGGTGGGAAAGAGATTGGAAGTCAGAGGAGAGACTGCAGAGTGCGAGTGGCAGACCAGACCACGTACCAACAAAGCATAAGGTAGAGGGATGAATACAGGAGGAAAAAAAGAGGGAGGATGCTCAAATATAGTCTGCCTCTGATGAGCTGTGGCTTCTTTGCAGGGATGAGGAGGGAACAGAGTCAGAGGAAGAGTATCAGATCAGCCATGCACACCCCTACCCCTGCTATGGGGATGGACTTCTCACAAATACACTTAGAACCTTCTGAGTACTCTTGCCTCCTACAGTGGGAGAAATGCCAAAATGCCACCCAAAACACCATTCATTCTCTAGTATATTCCAACTATTTAGAGGATGATTTAGAGAGGTTGCAGGCCCAGGATTGGCTCTAAAAAGCTACCCTTTTGTAAAGGAGATGTACATCTATTTGGATCAGTAAACAGCAGATGCAAGCAGGCTTTCACTGAGCTCTCCTTGTCTGCTGAGGAAACCCACATACTGCAGAAAAGAAGAGATTTAAGTTCTGACACCTGACGTAGAAAAACAAGACAAGTTTTACATCTCTCCTCATCCATTCATCGCTTAAGACCCAGTCTATTTTTTTTTCCTATACAAAAACCTTTATTGTCATCTGGCCTTTCATTCAGTATCATATTTGCTGGATTCTTGTGTACATAAGTCACATTAAATCAATGTGTATGCCTTTTTTCCTGTTAATCTAGTTGGCAGTATTATTCCATAGACCAAAGATTATTGACTGATTAAAGAAAATTTTGAACTTCCATACATTGCCTACAATCCAAAGATGGGGACTGTATTACATATTTCAATCCCAAAGCCAGGAGCAGTGCAGGACAATGGAGAGTGAGGTAAAGGGCCCCAGTAGAAAGTAGGTCTTCGAAAAAAATGTTTTGGCCTGTGCGGCCGGGGCTCTGCTCCACATTCTGCTGCCTCTCCGGGGCTGGTGTGTGGCCTCCGGGCCTGCACGTGGCCTCCGGGCCTGCACGTGGCCCCGGGACCTGCGCGTGGCCGCCCGGCCTGCGCGTGGCCCCTGGGACTGCACGTGGCCGCCGGCTGCAGGCGGCA